AACCAAAACTTTATGGAATTATTAACTCTCTTTTAATTATATACTTTCATTAATTAATAAAACCATAAGGGTGTAATTTGAACTTTTTCAAAAATACGAGGGTTTTTAGAATTTAACATTTCAAAATTAAACTTTTAATCAACTTTTAAATTCCAAAACTTGAGGGCAAGTTTTGAACTTTTTAAAACATTAGGGTTTAGAATTTAAATCTTTCAAAATTAACTTTTAATCCAAAAATTTAAATTCCAAAACTTGAGGACAAGTTTTGAAACTTTTCAAACTTACTAGGTCAAATATTTGTCTAATAATAATCCTATATTATCCATATTTAACCAAATTCATCAATTTTGATAAGGATAAACATTCCAAACATGAAAAATCGATTTTCGGCAATAAAACGAGTTTTGGTAATTATCCTTAACAAAATCTGCTCAAAAAATCGAAAATCCCGTAAACAGCACCCTGGACTCGCCGAGTCCACTGATGGATTCGCCGAGTTCAGCCAACTCGTCGAGTCCACTGATGGACTCACCGATTCGGGGCTACTCGCCGAGTCCACTGATGGACTCGCGCGCAGACAGCAAAAAAATTTCGATTTTCTGATCTTAGGCAGTCTAATTCTGCATCTATTCAATAGAAAAACGACCTAGGCTCTGATACCACTGATGGGTTTTGAGCATAACATCAATCCTATGGTGTTCATGCAACCCTAATTGCTTGGATCTAGGTTTTCTACTTTGAACATGCAATAAACTTCCAAGACTTACAAACCCTAGATCTATCATATAAGAACTGAAATAAGGGTTTAGTAATTACCTTTGATTGTTATATAGAAATAACAATCAATCCTTGCTTTGATTGGCTTCAGAAAGCTTAGTGCCTCAAGTGTTGCACCTCTAATGGAGTCACAAACACCACTAAGCAATTGGATGAAGGAGAGAAGAAGAGAGGCTGCCCAAAATCATCCAGAAACCCTAAGGGGGATCCTTTTCCACGTTTTTGGGGCTTAGGGGCTCCTTAAATAGGTAGACTATTAGGGTTATCTAACAAGGAAACCCTAATTTGACTGCTTAAGCCCTAAGCAGCCCATGGACCCCTTCTGGAACATGCCTTGGACGATTTCTAATGGGCTTCCCCATAGAATTCGTCCAACCTATTATTCCAAGGTGATCCATAGCCCAATTGCAATTATCCTATAATTACAATTCCAGTCCCCTAAGTTTAATTAATCTCTTTTAGCCACAAAATTAATTCTTAATTAATTCTTGACTAATATTAATTAAACAATATGATTTCTCCTTTAATATATTATTCTTATAATATATTAATAAATCATAATTAAACATTTCTTTCCTTAATTCATCCTACATATGGCTATGGTGAAGGCAACCCAAAAGGACCATGCTCATAATCGGGTCAATTACATACCAAAATAGTTATGGACTTAGACACTAATCCAACAGAAAGCCCTCAAAACTCCCTAAAACAAGATCTCATAAGTAAATGGTCAAGTTAGAATCTTTTTACCTCCAACTGAAGTAAAACTCTGAAGAATCTCTGGATCCAAAAGCCTCCTTTTGATCCATGCTTTGATGTTCTCCACTTTTTCCTCCAAAAGGTCACAACATGCCCAAAATTATGTCTCTTCTCTCTTTTAGCTCCCTCTAAGCGATTAGGGTTTCTCTCTGGAAGTAAGGAGGATGGTGAGGCGGCTTAAGGTCCTTTAAATAGGACCCAACCCCGAGAATCTAGGGTTTCTCTGCCCAGCACCTACTCGACGAGTCGGCTCTCTGACTCGTCGAGTCCATTCATTAAACTCACGCGGATACTCGACTCTACTCGATGAGTTGGACTCACAACTCGTCGAGTCGCTCCATAATTCTCAGAACTACCCTCACAACAATATGCCTGGAAATCCGGATGTTACACACTTGATGTGCTAAAGCTTTCAAAGGCCAAGAACTTCAAACCACATAAGAGGTATTCATCTAACTATGAGTTTTATGTTGTATATCCTCTATTGTATGCTAGTTAGGATGTATGCTTTGGATAATTGACAATGCATGTATAATTAGAGAAAACATAGATCCAAAGCATCTAGGGTTGCATGTGCACCAGCGGAGTGTTATAGTGCTTAAAACCCAACAATAAGCAAGTAGATTGAATAAAAAATCAATAAATAAAAACATAGGTTCAAATATCATCTACTTTAAACAAAAGTAAAAGGGTTTTAGCCTATAACTACAGCAAAAAAAATAGATAAAACAAAGCAAACTTCGAACCACATGTTTATAACAAAGCAAACCGAGTAATTAGATGTGATTATGCCTTTGATCTCTTCAAATCAAGCTCTCTAATCGAATTTTGATCTCCACGGGATCTAAGAGGTGTCTCTGGTGATCCAAAGCCGAAAGAAACTTGGTTCATAAGTTACGTTTTGAAGAATAATTGATATTTATACTTTGCATAAAATAGCCGACAGGCCGTGGAGAATAGATATCCACGTCATGGCATCAGCTTCCTTCGTGTGCCCTCCAAGATTTACATTATATACTTCTCTGATGAATTCTTGCTGCAAAAACTCTTCGCCACGCCATGGAGAATGTGGCCACATCGTGGGACTTCAATATCTTCAAAAAGTTGACTTCAGATGATTCAATCCAGCAATCTTGCTTCCAGCTCCACATTTTTGCTTCTTCTATCCCAAGCATGTCTTCTCTACTACAAAATTGAATTTTAACATTATAATTACCTTTTATCTTTAAATTAACACTAAATGTAGCTAAAAACATTGAAATATACCATAAAATATATAACCAAATATGGTCTCACGTCCATCTATCAAATCCATGGCTAAAATACCCTCAAGAGTCATATGGTTTCTAACTTTATGACTTTGCATGTCCATTAAGCACTTATTGAGATTTTTGGGCTCTTGGGAGTACGCCCCGTGTATGAGGTCAACCACCCCGATGGTGGTCAACATCCGAGTACGTCCAGCGTAGATTTGGAGTACGCCCGCGTACTCACTCTGTGGTAACTCGACTGAGTTGACTCGGCTGGGTTGACTCAGTTGATTTGACCATTTTGACTTTGACTTTGACCAAGTTTGACCTTAGGGCATGTTGGGTTTTTTGGGATTTTGATTGTGATTGGTCAATTGGTTGGATAGGTGACGGTTAGAGTTGAGATTCGGAGTCGAGACCTCATCAGCTTTTGTCAAATCTGTAAGGTGAGTTTTCCTCGCTGTACTTACGGGTCGAAGGCACCAAGGCCGGCGCATTAGATTAGATATATTTTTATGTGATAGTATGTTATCGTGATGTAGTCATCGGTTAGATCGGTATCCTGGTATATAGGATGATGTTATGCTTAGTGATCTGTAGATCTACCTAACTGTTTGTTGACCGGTTATAAGTATGTTTATCTATTATGTATATGTCGACATGTTGTGTGTATGGTTGGGTTGAGGCGGACCAATGTAGACTGAAGGCCAAGAGACCCAGGGCGGCCTGGATAGACTGCAGGCCTGAGAGGCGTACCAATCAGGCCGAAGGCCCGGAGAATGGTCCAGATAGGCTGAAGGCCCAGTGAGGCGTTCCAGTCATGTTGAAGGTTCTGTGAGCGTTCCAAATAGTCTGTAGGCCGGTATGGCGTTCCAATCAGGTTGAAGGCTTTGTATGCATGTTGTTTGTTATTATGTTTATGTGGTGCTACTTTTGGGGAACTTACTATGCGTTGACTTACAGTTTTGAGTTATGTTTCAGATACTTCGGATGACCGCGAGAAGGCGAATGCATGACCGTATACATCCTCTTATTTATGACTTATGATTTTGGGAGACTTTGATGTTTAGAAAATGTTTTGAAAACTATGATTTGTAAACAATTTATGAATTTGGGTTAATTTAAAAGTTTAAATTTCATGTGATTTTTATGGATGTTACAAATTATAATTACCTTTTATCTTTAAATTAACACTAAATGTAGCTAAAAACATTGAAATATACCATAATATATATATATATATATATATATATATATATATATATATATATATAACCAAATATGGTGATATCAAGTTTATTAATTAATTTATAAGCTAGTAGATAGTTTATCGGATAAAAGCTTACCCTTTGGTTTATCTAATTATAATCATAAAATAAATTGTAAATGTTTTTTTTTAACGACAAATATAATCTACTTTTAAACTACTTCTCTATCCACATATGTCTCATACGAGACTTGAACCATCGACTCAATGAGGGAGGACAACACCTGATACCAAGCAGTAGAAGCCATTTGGTTTAAATAATTTAATTAGTAGTTTTTGTGTTTAATTGTCAAACCTACATGCACCCTAGAGGTGTACAAACCGAACCTTTTTTTAATGTTCAAAACTAAAACCGTGCATGATTTTTCAATAACCGGTTTAGAAGCCGTCAGACTAACGCTAATCTATTGGTAAATATTACCACGACCTAAAACCTAACGTCTTATTTTGTGTCGGTAATAGCTATCACCGATGAAATATCGACGGATTACGCCGTCCGTATTTCTTGTCTTTCTAGATGTGTAAGTTAGACAATACTTCACGGATTACGCCGTGAGTATTTCCGGTCTTTCTAGAAGTGTAAATTATCATCAAATACCATGTTGAATTCGACAACTCAATAAACTTGCACTTGTTTACAACCCTATATATTACCACTATTGCATTACTTAATGTTCCAAAAATTTTGTGAAAACTAAAGTCGAGCTCTTTATGACTTATGAGTTCAAACGTGCTTTTCTATAGTCGAACTAAAAATTAAGTTTGAGCTGGATTCTAGTTGCACCTCTAATTAGCTATGATAGTTTGTCTTGGTTGAGACACGTACTCTCTCACACACCTGCTTGGACCTACACACTGTTCCACTTTAATAAACATAATTTCTCTTTTTCTCTTGATTTCCCATGCTACAAAATGTCCCTTGATTTCCCACTCTACCTGAATCACTCATGGAAACTCAAAATAACCCCATATTTTACACCCACCACGCTCAACTGCCGTCTTCCGCCTTAGGTGATATAAACTTCAACCCTCACAACGATAGCCATGAACTGGAACAAGTTTTCATTAACACCGATATCACTACCACCATCTCTAAAGAACACATGTTTCAAAAAACCCTAACTCCAAGTGATGTCGGAAAACTCAACCGTCTTGTCATTCCCAAACACCATGCCGAGAAATACTTCCCGTTCGGAGGTGGTGGTGACGCCACTAACCAACGGAAAGGTTTGGTACTGAGTTTTGAGGACGAGTCTGGGAAGCTATGGCGATTCCAGTACTCTTACTGGAAAAGTAGTCAAAGCTACGTGTTGACCAAAGGTTGGAACGGGTACGTCAAGGAGAATCACTTGGATGCCGGCGACCTCGTTTTGTTCGAGCGACATAGATTGGATTGTCAAAGGATGTTTATAGGATGGAAACGACTGTCTGCAGCTGCGGCACCAATTATTGATAGAATGGCGGCGGCGGTGGCTCAGCCGGTTAATGGCGGTGCTCAGATTAATAGGTGGAGCAACATGGCGGGGTTCCATCATGCGCAGTCTCATTATCCTTCACACCATCCGCCTATATCTATTCCTCTACGATACCAACCCGATTGTCTTCATGCAGGTGATTATGTTTTTCGAATTTCAATTTTCTATTTTTATTTTATATATATATATATATATATATATATATATATATATATATATATATATATATATATATATATATATATATATATACATATATAGAGAGAGAGAGAGAGAGGTTCAATGATACAATATTATAGGGCGGTAAAAGTTGACAAAATACGTAACTAAACTGGGACAAAATCTAATTTTGAATTAGTATTTGTCATGTATAAAAAACACCATGTTATGACATATTGTTCCTCGTGTCATGTCCGGTTCAAAATTCAACATGATAACAGCAAGAAACATTATGTTTGTGTTCAAAAATTGTGTATGTTTAGTATCATTTTATGTTGTTTTAATTTACTTTTTGTCGTGTTTAAATTATCTTTGTTACAAGAACTTATGTATGACATTTTGTAAATGGTTATTTTTTGTTATTTTTTGTGTTTGTCATGATTTTATTGAGTCATGTTCGTTTTAACGGACAAAAACATGTTATTGTGTCGTATCGTGTTCGGGTTAAAAAAAACAAAAGAATTTGCGTGGTACCGTGTGGCGTTAGACAAAAACACGGAAGAACTGTCCGGTTTGACACCCTTAATTTTTTGTCGCATAACACCTAAGGTCATTCACAATGCATTGAACTTTTTAGAGTTCAATGGATTGTCACATCATCTTTCTACAATCTATACAACTCTATCATTTTTTTCTTACAATGCATTGAACTCGACAAAGTTCAATAGAATGTTACAAAATATAATTTATAGTAAATATTTAAGAATTAAAAACTTTTTTTTTTCCCATTGAAGAGTTTAATGGTCATTGAACTCCAAATCTATTGAATGTCAAGGTGGCATCTCACAATGATAAAGCTTCATCCATTGAATGACACATAGACTTACCATCTCATTCAACTCTATCATTGAACTCACCATTATGGATGCTCTAATGACTCATTTCTAGCTACAAATTTCTGGGGCCAAGAAGCAATACAATAATCCAAATAAATGACAAAAACATATCATAAGTAATTAATTTCTGTCATTATTAACATTAAAAAAAAATCAAATTTGTATATGAATATGAATATGTGTATGAAAATGTGGTTAATTACCAAACAGGAATGGTAGCAACAAGACGATTGCGATTGTTTGGGGTGAACCTTGAGTGCTCAAATAATTACGAGCCACAATCCCCAGTTAATTCGAGCCACGGTGGTGAATAGGATCTGCGATATGTCTTCGGTTGCAACAATATTCATCAAGACACGGTTAGTTATGAATTATCATTTTTTTTGATATAAATTACCATATATTTTTATACTTATTATTATACTTCTAATCTATTTGTGTTAATTTTAAGTTTAATTAGTTTTAGGAGGGCGAAAAACTAAACCAATAATTGAAATTATAGAGTTTTTTTGGTTTTTGAAAATAACATATTATTATCTTCTAATAATTTGATTAGCGATAAAATATCCGTATATTTATATTCAAAATTTCTATGTTTTTAGATAAATTGGGCTCACTCACTCGGCTACTCTCTCCTCATCATGGCCTCACCAACTCCTATTCCTTCAACATATTAAATATTTCAACCCAACATGAGACACTACATTTACAAGGACTAAACAGTAACATGCTAATCTGATTCGAACTTGGCATGAAAATAAAATACGATAATTAAACATATCATTTTAGGATAACATTCTCTTACCTCATTTAATGTTTCAACTCGATACGAACAATACAAGACATGACATGTTTTCAAAGTCTAATGAAAATGATAAACTTTATTATATTTATAAATTTATTAAAAAAATGAAGCCTAAAAATTAAAAATCAAAAAACCATTCATTAATAAATATGCATATTTATTGAATAGCCAACCAAAACACCACTTTAACCACCATTGTAAGGCTAATCGGAGTGGGAATAAAAAGCACGCGTGAGTGTTGAGGTGGAGCCCCCAAGACGCGTGAACATCGCCCCGAGGGTTGGTGCTCTGGCTATGGCGTAAGTGGGGAGACGGATGAAGACGGACACATTGATTGGTTTAACTCGATTTTGACATTTTAGGGAGGGGGGGGGCAGCATTTCGACCATTAAAAAATTTAAAAAAAAAAATCATTCACTTATTTTATTCTCTCTCTCTCTCTCTCTCTCTCTCTCTCTCTATATATATATATATATATATATATATATATATATATATATATATATATATATATATATATATATATATATATATATTATTACACACTTTTTTCACAACAAAACACACACACTCTTTCAAAACATTCACACTCTTTCAAAAAAAAGTGGATAATTTTTCCGGTTCAATTTCTTCTTCATCTGATGATGATTCTGATGAGGAGTTGGTATTGTGCACACTATTGTTTGCAGCACAAGACATAGTTCGTGAGAGAGGCGAAAGTTCACACGACGAGAAGAAGCGTAGAAAATGGATCAACCAGGATCGAGAGGCGTCAAATGAACTTTTGATACGTGATTATTTTGCCCATGATAGTTTATATAATCTATCGAAATTTGAAAAACATTTTCGTATTAGTAGAAATTTATTCTTACGTATAGTTAGAGATTTGTAACGTAGTTATGATTTTTTCCAATTAAGATTGGATGTTAGAGGTAAACGTGGTTTTAATACAATACAAAAATATACTGCCGCTCTTAGACAACTGGGATATGGCATAGTCGCAGACGCATCAGATGAGTATTTGAAAATGTCTGAGAAGACGGGTCGAGACCATACATATCTTTTATGTGAGTATGTTATAGAGTTTTACCGTGACATATACTTGCGACATCTGACTAAATGTGATGTCGAACAGTTGTATGTCGCGCATCAAGCTAAACATGGTTTTACAGGGATGATTGGTAGTATTGATTGTACACATTAGAAATAGGCAAATTGTCCCGATGCGTGGCGTGGTCAATTCATGCGAGGTGATCATGGGGTCCCGACTGTTATATTAGAGGCGGTTGTTTCACAGGACTTATGGTTTTGGCATGCATTCTTTGGTATGGCGAGGTCAAACAATGACCCGAATGTGCTCCAAGCGTCTCCGTTATTTAACCATATTTTGCATGGTAAAGCACCAAACATGTCAAACATTGTGAATGGAAATGAATATAAGTATGGGTATTACCTAGGTGATGGGATATATCCAAAGTATGCTACAATTGTCAAGTCATATTCATTTTCGGTCGATGAAAAACAAAAATTGTTCAAGTTAGCACAGGAATCTGCAAGGAAGGATGTGGAATGAGCGTTTGGAGTCCTAAAACAAAAGTGGCACATAATCAAACATCCGACACGAACATGGGATAAGGCAAAACTAACGATGGTGTTGACTGTTTGTGTTATTTTACATCACATGACAATAGAAGAAGATGGTAGGGTTATTTGTTCATATACCGGGAACGATATACTTAATCCACCTTCAGTAATACAAGTTGGCAGTCCGGCATACTTCTCTAGGGTTTTGGAAATATAATACCGTGAAACACATCACAATCCACGCCACGATTTGACCAAGCACATATGGGAAAGACAATTCCAACGGCAAAATGACAATGAAGACGAAGAGGGTGAGGGCGGTGACGACGAGGCAGATGACGACGGAACGAAGCGGATGAGGTCGGTGACGACAACGACGACGAGTAGTATTTCTCTTTGGTTTTTTATGTTTTAAATTTGTATGTTGTTTTAAGTAGTGTAATGTTTTATTTGGTATGTTTTATGATTATTTTAGTAATTTAGGTATTAAATTTCTATGTTTTTAATTAATGAAATGTGGTTTTATTTTTTTATGTTTTCAAAAAATTTATTTATGCTATAAATTATGTTTTTTATTTAATATAATGTTAAAAAAATAAAATAATAAAAATAAAAGAAATATTATAGAGTGGTAACCATTTTCAATGTCTATTGGGTTGGTAGTGGGTTGGTGGTGAAGCTGACGTGGCGCAAATGTGGTAGCACTTTTTCGGTGGGTTGGTGGTGACCACTCCCCATACCCTAAGATCCATGCCTGACCAATGAGCGCATTCTTAATCGCGAACACATACCCGGTCAATGACCTTCTCGTGTCCAAATAGACAGTCAAGATCAAAGTATCTAGCTACCATACACTCCTTGTTACCACCATAAATGATCATTCTAACATCTAAAATGGCTTGCAACTCATGCCTCGTGTTTTGAATGCGTATACTTGATACATGGTAACCCTCATCAAGGTATCCATTAAGAAATGTTGTATTCCTTGTTTTTTCACTAGTACACACTTTTTGTTGCACAAAAGGCTGTTCTTTGGATGAATTTTTCGATGATCGTTATTGGAGCCATGACTTTTTCTCTTGTGAAATCCACGACTTGGGGAAATAGCTCACGGTTGGGGCAAATTCTCATGTTTGGGGGAAAATATCCACAATCGGATACTTTATATGAATAATTTATTTAAAATTAAATTAAATGAAACTAATATAAGTTTCCTATGTACATACATATTTGTTTGTATGTTTATATTTATATTGAGTGGGCCCTGATTTAATTCTTGTGTTGTGTAGCAGATGAGATACCATCAACATGAAAGATGAGAAATATCAGGAATTCGGATTTTTCGATGGCAAAAAAGAAAGAAGATCCCAGATTTCTCGCAGACTTTTAAAGAACATTATAGAAAGGTCATTCTAGATGCTCTCTAAAAGGGCCCAAGTCTTATCCCCACCGGAGAAAACCCCTTAAAAAGATTTGATTTTAGATCCTCTTGACTAAATTCAGCCAGTCTTTCTTGGTATCTTCGGCCAACTTTCATGTAAAATGAATGAGTTTTTAGTCAATTTTTGTTTAATTAAATTGTCTCCATTTATATGCCTATAAATATTATATCCATTAAAATTACAACAACTATTATTATTTCATATTTTTTTTAACTATCTCATTAAGGATTAAGGATATATTAGAAATATATAAAATAAAATTAAATTGAATGGTGTAATGATAACATTTGGCATAATTTTAATGAGTACGAATATTTATAGGTATAAAATGTAGGAGGTAATTTAATTTCTCTTTTTTTTATTAATGTTATAGATACAAGTTCTTTTGAGAACTAAAAAATTATGCGAACTTGAGAACTACTAATCAAACTATCATTTTTCAAAATCAAAACCATAAATATTAACGAAATGCAGCGTCTAATCCATATTGAGGCTCAAAAAAAGATTTGACGAATTTTTTTTAAATGTTTATATATATGCACTACTGATGCATGCATGCATATCTGCATCCGCACTCCACGGCCCATATAACTATTTATGCATATTTGCATCTGTAGTCAATATGACTGTTGATTCATAATATATGTATATATGCATATCTGCATCCGCAGTCCATATGACTACTGACACATAGTTTACTGATCATTAGTTCGCAAGTTCTCCTGTTATTTTAATTTCGCACACTAACTCAGCCATAATGTTATAATAACTCAGCCCTTATGTTATAAATGTATTATCAAATAAGGAAGCTAAATATCTCAAATAAACTATTTTTTCCTAATTGTATTTAATTTCAAATCTTTACTATTATTTAACTAAATAATTATTCTTTTAATATTCTATTATATTTTTTAGTCTTTAATATCGAAATATTAAACACGTATCATCGAATATTGTACGACCAATAAAAACAAAAATAGAAACTAGATTTGGACCCACCTTTCTAAACTTCTATTTTCTTTAAAACGACAAATATTATTAATTTTATTAATAAACACCCACGACTAGTAAGTAATTATCGAGAGGATAAAGGTAGCAACAAAGCACAGAGTACAAAAAGTATGAGATACAAAAAGGAGATGATGACCACTCTTCCCATTGACAGGTTCCGCCTTTACCCTTACATTTAACCCACATAAATAGTGTTGATTTGATTTGCTCTACACCATAAGAAGGTTTAATGAACATCTTTCTGAACATCCCATCATTGCGATATTTCCATAGATTCCAAAAAATACCATAACATATGGGGTGAAACCGGTCTTTTCATCTTTGGACTTCTCCGCCAGTTTGCAGCAAATCCAAGTAATTCATCAATGCTATTGAACAATTGATTTTGTATACCACACCAGTTGAAGATTTTATCTCTCACTACTTTGGCAAACAGACGTTTTACCAAAATATGATCAGCATCTTCTTCCTC